ATTGAAGCCCAGTGCCTTATCCTTCCTCCATGGGCTGAGGGCCACTCTTTAAATGCACCATGGCTTCATGGAGCCATTCTAGTAGCCAATGAGCACTGGTGCGAGGCACAATCTGTTGATCATCTAAATCTGACTATGGTTGGCCCTGGAAGACCCAGAACCAGGTGTATGCGCCCAGCCCATGAGCCTGTCCTACCTTCCTTCCGCAAGGAAGTCCTCAAGAGGTTGGAAGGCTGGTTGCACTAAGACATCAGCACAAATGAAGTTTACACCAGCATGTCTTCCAGCTCTTACTTTCTTCCCCTGGAAGAGGCATATCATCTTGTTCAGCCAAGAGGGAGACTGCAGGTGTTCAGTCCAACATGCAACAACCAATTGGCAACGTTCCTTCAAGTAAAATTTAACAAGAATCACCAGCCCTCAAGTTAAAGCCATGCTGAGAACTTGAACTCCTGCCCGCCCAGGTGCTGCTGCTGTTGCAAACACCGAGACCTGAATACCACCTCCTGCTTCCCCTTGCTCAGCTTCATGACTCATGTCAGAAAAGCACGTTTTCTATTCAAAACAAAATGACCTTCTAAATTCTCTTGAAATGCTACACTGTTTTAAGTCAAGGCATCACAGAGAAAAGTAGATTACAAATGCTATAATCTCAAGAGGCTGTTTTTTCACTCTAAAATTATTTCTAAATGCTTGTGAATACTTACATTAATGATAAACACATCTTTTGCTCACATGTTCCTTGAACTATATAATTACTGTTGCCGCTGAGGTTCTTCCCCACTGATAAACAGTCAGGCAGATACTTTGTCCCAGAATTATGGAATTTCACCTGGCTTAACTTACCCCAATTTGAGAACGATTAAAACACTCCATCTGCAATACAGCAGACTAGCAATCATTTGTAGCATCTCGGCTTCTTTCCGAGTTGCTAACTTTAAGAATGCTAAAAAGCAGATACTCTTATCATGTCCCTGTGTGATCTGAAGGGGCAGATGCACCAGGGCCCTGACACATGTAGCTTTAAAGATAAAACACACGTACAATATTAAGTCAGAACAGGAGTCACTTCCAACACATGCCATAGTCTCTAAAGTCAAAGCTAACATTTCCCAAACAGTCTAACAGCTTAGTTTAAAGCATGGAGAATCTAAAGGTTAAGGTTTGATTAGAATGTATTTTCTCGATTTTTTCTTAACACATCAGAGCTGCCAAATTCCTTCCCAGTGTGAACCTACCGGTCCGATGAGAAAATAAGTCCAGTTCCACTCGTGATAATGCCTGCAGGATAAGGCCCTCCAAATTAAAAATAAATAAAATAAATCATAGCCCCATGTAGAGTATAAGAAATTAAGTGGCAAGTCTCTGTTTTCTAGGGGGACAGCCCAATTCCAGGAGTTGCTATTGCTTTTACCCCAGGCAGTGAATTGGCAGCAGCCAGTGCAATTTCTCGGGGCCAAGCGCATTGCCTTTCCCAGGCACGGGGCGGCCGGGCTGGCCGCGC